GAAGACAGTATCAAAAATGGATTGGAAGCTGGTATTGACTGTGGTGGTCCAAGTTGTTCGCGATGCGCAAGCATTTATGGTTGTCCAGCAAGGTCATTCTTCAATGCGAGCTCTATTTCTAATCTCGAAAGCCTTGTTGCAACACTTAATTTCGAAGGTCGGATCAACTATTGCATCAACCTCACGTGTGTTCTTGTGGCAAACTTCACCCCTGGTGCCGTCATTGTCGAACATGTGTTGCAGCCATCATTTGTGAATGGCACCTCAGGGGAGCCAGTCACACTTTTGCTTCCACTGCAGCTGTGGCCAGTTCTGAACAGTTTTTCTCAAGTAGACTTGGAAGTCAAACTTATCAAGCCTGACAACGGAGAAGTTTGCAACTCTACTGTGGGGTCTGTTGTCACAATATCAATTGACCGCACTCCTCCTACTGCCACGTGGTCCGCAACCACGAGCTCAAATCTGTTTGAAGTTGCTATCAACTTCTCTGAAATGGTGCGTGGTGTCTGTCCTAGATAGGAGCTGCAGCATCAGCCATGTCAGCTACTAATAATTTGCTGCACCCGCAGGTAGCGATCAATGTTTCACAAGTTCAAGTCAATAATGGCATCATACGAAGTGCACAAATTGCGCAATCTACCATGACGATTGAGGCCGCTGGGGAGGCCGGCACCAGGACAACAATTGTGGTCCCATCAACATCTTTTGTAGATTTGGCAGGCAACACTGGAGATAACAACATTATAATTGAACTGGATGCAGTTGGCAATCAAGAGGATCGCGTCGCTTACATCACTCGAAGTGTTGCAGGGATTGGTCCAGCGACTGCAGGTGTGGCTGTTGCCACAAGTATAGCAACAAATGCGATTGTTGCTTTTGGAAGTGCTTCAGTCGCACAAGTATGTGTTGCCAAATCTAACTTGATGAGGGCAGGCTATCATTTCCAAATGATGTCCATGTCAGCAAGCCTTGCGGTTCCAAGGATACCAGGTGAGGTTTAAATGCTTCATGTCTAGATGCCCGTGAATGGAGTTTGCTTGATGCCTGTTGACAGAGATGGTTTCACTCGGCTTACTGGCCACTTCCTTTGCTATTATCACGCTGTATCAGAGACCTACCGTCATCTTGTGAAACAGTTGGGTTGGTCAACGCTGGATGTTCAGGTTGCTGGGCTCAGTCAATTCTCCAAGGCTTCCGCTGTCGAAACGCCTGTGCCTGCATCGAGGCGGCTTCAGCAGACCAGCTCACCTACAGGATTGCACAAAGACCTGGCATATACTTTGGTTGTAGCATCCATACTACTGGGTTGTATCCTGGCATGCCATTCACTGGTGCACGCTTTGTGGACATTTGTCCTGAAGAGGCCACTGCCAGATTTTCTGATAATGCCGTGTATTGAAGTGCTGCTGGCTGGATTTGTGTTAGTGGCGCTGAGCTTTTACGCTAGCTTGCCGTTAGGTCCAAATGTTCCGGTCTCAGAGAGAGCTCCAGCCAGTCTTGCCATCCATGTTGCCTTGTGCTTGCCATACACAGCATTTCTGTGTTACATGGCTATCCAGCGCAGCAGGCTTTTCCTGGTGCAAGGTGGCAATGCTACACATACAATGATAACACCCAACACCAATGTGCAAGAAAGTGAGGTGAGTCTCGTGGCACTTGTTTGGGCTTGGCTTGCTGGCCGCTTTCAGGACATCGGTCATCCCAGCAAGCTGACAACGTTAACATATACAACAGGTTGTTCACGCTGCTCGTCAAGCTGCTGGTGAGCTGATGGCTGGCGAATCTGATGAAGTGGCATTTGAAAGCCCCAGTTCAAGCGAGAGCTCCGGCAGCGGATGGAACAAGGGCCCTCATTGGTTCAAATTTACTGGCCCTGTTCATGGTGAGGAACAACCAAGGTCTCACCCTATGAGCCAAGCGTCATTTGAGATGCCTGAAAGCACTACGCAGACCAAACTGCGACCGCGGCACACGCAATCGCTGGGTGGAACATCAGGGCCTGGACCACGCAGCAATGGAGATTTATGTGACTCACAAGGACAGCGTTCTGGGCCTGTTTCCTTGTTTGGAGAACGTTTGAATGTACCAAACCGTGGGTTCCATTCTGATCCTGGAACTTGTGGGCCGGTGGCAGAAGCAGTCAGCAGGGACCCCACAGAGTCCCAGGCAGGAGGGACCATTGGCCCAACTCTTGTGACTCACCCAAGTGGAATTTTCCTGGAAGCTTTGGCAACCAGCCGGAGACCATCAGTTTTGCCAGCTGTACCAGGACCTGAGGTGGAGGATGCTGTGTGCTTCGCTTCAAGGCTTGAATTCATGTGGTCTGATGTAGCAAAGGTACGAATACTGCAGCAAGGCCTATTTGTTTGCATCCCAACATGTATGCCATTCACAATATCCACGCCAACTTTATTTAATCAGGAGCGCCAACCAGCGTCATTGGCAAAACTGCTGATATTTGCGGTCAACTTTGCCCATAAAGCTGCGACAGCGCTCCTATTGGGATACTACACGTATGTTGAACAAAGCTTCACACAGGCAAGTAGTGATTGTGATGATTCACCCAAAGGCACCGTGTCAGCTGGCTGATGTGTCGCTGCCCTCGCAGATCCTTGCAGTGGTCCTCCTGCAGATTGTCATGCTTGTCTACCTGGTGACCGTGAAGCCGTTTGTGGACTCCGGCTTGCACGTTGTCGAGGTTGCTTGCCACAGCCTGGAAGCAGTCCTATTCGCATGCGCGGCTGCTCTGGTGCTTTCACAGCCATCAATGCAAGTTGAACTGGGCTTACAATGGGCGATGATAGGTGAGGCTATGACAGGGGCAGGGGAGTGCTTGTGTGAAGGGACTGCTCGCACCTATGCTGAGCATGCATCCCCCAAACGCAGGCTCTTTTCTTGGCGTGGTCGCCACATTAATGGGCTTTGAAATTCGCCGTGTGATCCTGATTGCACGTCAAATCATCCAGTGGTGGCGCAGCCGCCACATTGCTTCAGCTACATGAAATTGTCGTTAATGAATGATGTGGGAGTTGACATGCATGTCGACCAAACTAAATGATAACGCAGACAGTAGCATAGTCGTCGCTGAAGTGATCACTATGACTGCGAAGTTGCCAGTCAAAGCACAAGTTTGTACAGTATTCAGTACGCAATCATATGGGGTTTGACGGCGTTCCAGAACCCCAGACACCATTCATGCAGCAGGTTTATTCTAGTGGAGAAGGCACAGCTGCATTCGTTCTAGACATGTGTACATTAGTAATCTAGGCTGCTGGTGCAGCTGACGGCGCTCGAGGGGGAGGGGGAGGGGGCACACAAGTGGCGTGTTCATTTGCAATGAGACAAAGCTTGCATAACAGACACGCACGCGGTGGATATGATGTGATACACGTGGATGAGGACAGACCCCTCCCGACACAGCATAGTTGACCCCGTGCAAAGAGCGCCGCTCAGCTGCTGCAGCCCCTGAATCCGCATCGTCCCGCTGCGGTGACAATGGCCAGCTCGGCGACATCCGTTCGAGCAACGAGTGCAACCCTTTACATCGATGAAAATTTGGCAAGAATTAGGGAGTTTCTTGAGACCGTGGCGGCGAATGCACAGCATGCGGGCATGCCGAGTCCTTTTAGATCGGGTGTGGGTCGCTGGCCAGGGTCATCGTCACAGTCTTGGAGCAAAGTTCCTTGTATAACCTCCTGTCCAAGGATGGGCGCGCGGCTGGGCTTGGCGGTGCTGCTGCTGCTGTATGGGTTCGTCTCGGTCGCTATCGCAGCGTCTGCACCTGTAATCTTCAACATCACCATACCAAAGAGCGCGTCGGGATTTGAGGAGGAGGACGCCTACATCTGCACGACGCTGCCGCTACCGGCGCAACCGATGAAGCTGGTTGGCGTTGAGCCCATTGCCAAGCAGGAGATTGTCCACCACATCCTGCTGTTCGGTGAGGTCGTACACCCTCTCAGTCACAAGAATACTTTTAAGTGTTCTCCGAGGCTGTGCAGGGGGCCTTGGAGCAAACGCGGCCGCTGCATCACAGCTGTGCGTTTTGACGTAATCAGAGCCGACGCACGCGCGTAACAAGCTGCTTTTGGCTTCCCATGCGGTGTCTGCAGGCTGCAGTGTGCCACACGTTGAGCCCAAGGATGGCAACCAGCCAGTTTGGGACTGCAAGCGGGCGCGAACGTGCGGTAGCTTTGAGGAAACTATCCTGTGAGTCCAAGGGCCCGCAGTTGCGGCTTGCTGGCTGCCTGGGACACACGCGTGGCTGTTGGGGACGTGTTTTGTAGTAACAGAGCAGAGCAGAGGTGGTCGCGGCTATACAGGTGTCTTGCGGAGGGCTGGGTCAGCATCCGGTGGCGGTGTTCGGCGCAGCGTACGGGGCCGAGTCATGCGGAGCCAAATCAGGGCGACAGGACACCCGCAGGGGGTGTTTGCAGCGGAGTTCACGCCTGCTTCAGAATCGGCATGTGATGCGGCGATGGGTTTCACTTGGCGGCCGTTCCACGCAGCTCCCTCCGCCTTGCGGCGCGCCACGGCTGATACGTGGGCAGCTCGGCCCGCCACTGCCCGCCTAGTGTGAGTAATTGTCCTTCCCCTACCATTCGCACAGCTACGGCTGGGGCCGAAATGCCCCCAAGCTGGAGCTACCAAAAGGAGTGGGGTTCTCTGTTGGCGGATCCAGCAGCATCCGGTACATCGTGGCTCAGGTGCAGCAGCACGCAGGCTGCGGCGCACGCATGCTGCCGTTGCGGCTGTCGCGCCGGGGTGCAGCCGCGTATGTGTTATGGTGGGAGGCAGCCGCGGGCCCACAACCACGCGCCCTCAACAGCTGTAGGTAGCTGCACCAATTGGAAACGCATGCGCGCTCCAGCCTGGCTGCTTTGGCACTGGCACGCGACCGGCGCAAGCGGCTCACCTCCCTGTGGCAAGGGGGTGCGTGAGGTCGGGCACTACAAACGACTCGGGCTTCTCACCTGGATGCTCACGCGCCAAGCAACCCCCCAACCCCCTCGCAGCTCCATTACCTGTCGCCCAAACCCAAGGGGGACTCCTCCGGCGTGTCGCTGAGGTGCGGCATAGGTGGCCGCACGGGTGCAACAACCGGGCGGCTCCATTCCCGGCTCCCTCCTTCCAGCCCGCGCGCGCGCCCAGAGCTTGTGTCCCTCTTGCTGCGGCACGCCGTACTGGCGCCGGCCCTTTTCTAAACCCCCAGAGTGGACGCGCGTCTCACCGCGCCACCCTCGTTGTCCGCGCCCCACCCGCACACACACATCCCCCCCTCAGCCTCCAGAAGGACCCCGTCCCCTACTCTGCGGGCATGCTGTCGTACGCTTCCTGGTTCAGCATCCCGCCCCGCAAGAAGGAGCACCTCGTGATCAACCGCTGCTGCTACCGCGGCTTCCAGCCGCTCAGCACGTTCGCAGTCAGGGTGCGCGGCCGCGCAAGAAAGGAAGAGAGAGGGAGAGAGGGAGATAGAGAGAGAGAGGGCGAGGGAGAGAGAGAGAGAGGGAGAGAGAGTGTGTGTGTCAGGCAGCCCCCGCCTTGCCGAGCTGGGCCTGTGAATGCGCCGCAGTTGGATGGGAAGGGGGGGAAAAGCAGGTGCCGAGGCGGCCTTGCTGCCACTCCTCCTCGTGCTCCCACGGGTGTTGTGGGTTGGCCTGGGTGCTGGCAGTTAGGGCGGCAGAGCGCACTAATTGCCCACGGCGCTGGTGTGTGTGTGTGTGTGTGTGTGTGTGTCCCAACCCCACAGGTTCACACGCATGGCATGGGCAGATCGGTCTTCATGGTCAGGCAGCGAGTCAACGCCACCCTGGGTGAGCCGACCCCCAACCCCCGCGCTCCAACAGTTGCAACCCTGCGCCTGCTGCCCTGCATGCGGCGCCCGCGCGGCCTGGCCCCTTGCTGAACGCCGCTCGCGCCCGCCTGCGCCCCGCGCCGCCGCCCTCCCCCCCCCTTCTCAGCTCCCAAGAACGCCCTCGACGTGATCGCCAAGGGGGACCCCCTGGCTCCTCAGGGCTTCAACCCGGTGAAGCGCTCGGTAATCTACCCTGGTGACCCCCTGACCGTTACGTGCGCGTTCGAATCGACCAACGTGACGCACTGGGTGTCGGCCGGGCCGAGCCACGACCACGAGATGTGCAACATGTACCTCATGGTGAGGGGATTCGAGCCGCGACACGCGCAGATGCACGTGTGTTCGAAGCGTGTGCGCTCGTCTGTGTACGCATTCGTGTGTGTTTGTGTGCCTGCTCGCTCGCTCGTGTGCGCGCTGGCGATTCGGACTGGCGGTGGCGTCTGCACGCGTTGCGGGTGTGGTCTTTTCCGTCAAGGCATGCGCGCACGGCTGCGCGACACACGGCAGCAAAACCCCACGACCAATCCAGACAGGCCCGCGCTCACGCACAAACGTGCCCTTCTCTCCGCCGCCCCTCCGTCCCTCGCCCCTCCCCCACTCCTCCACCCCGGGCCGCCAGGTCTACTCAGCGATCCCTCACATCGAGATGTGCAACGACGGCGAGGGCATGGTGGCCGACACGCAGCCCGGCAGCATGCCGCACTCTGCGCTGGTCACGCCAGACCCCTTCCCCGGCTGGCGGCCCCCCAAGCCCAGCGACAAAGTCAAGGCTGCCTCCGGCGCCCAGGTAGGCACGTTGGACACGCTTGTGTTTGTCAGGAGGGGTGGGCCGTCTGTGGAGGTGGGGCAGTAATGCTGTGGGAAGTTTCCTGTTGGGCAGTCCCGATGTTGCCAGGGCGATATCTCGCAGCGCGCGAAACGCGGCCCAGGTGGGGTGCTGGCAATTGAAAAGAGATGTGTTGCGTGACTTGGGGAGTGGAGGGTGAAAGGTGGTAGTGTGAT